AAGAGAAGAGAAGAGAAGAGAAGAGAAGAGAAGAGAAGAGAAGAGAAGAGAAGAGAAGAGAAGAGAAGAGAAGAGAAGAGAGACAGAGAGACACACAGAAAGAGTTGGAGGGGGGAAGGAGGGAGAGAGAGAGGGAGGGAGCGGGAAGGAGGGAGAGAGCCAACAGAGCCACACATGGGGGCAGGGGATTGAGTGTGTGAGAGCAGGTGTGTTCAAGGTAGGAAAGTAGGGAGAGAGAGAGAAAACAGACCTACCAATCAACACTGGCCGAACACCTTGACTCACCCAGGACCTGAAGCCAGCCCCCTGGTTTTTTGTTTTTGCATCGTGGACACATTGTTCGAACAATATTTACCATGAGCTAAGCACTTTGAGGGGTAGTCATGATACTTCCTATTTTACAGACAAGGAAGCTGAGGTTCATAGATGAAGTGATTTGTTCCCAGGACCCACAGTCAGGAAGTTTTGGGCAAATCCTCCTTAACTGAGTTTCTGAAAACTATAGATGGTCACTCTGCTCTGGAGAGGTCAAGACCTCAGGCCACCTACATGGGCACCTCAGTTTCCTTATCTGTGAAATGGTCAAGCAGGCCAGATCTACCTCTGGGATCTTCTGTAATGGTGGCAGCCCCACTGCCGTAGACGGGGCGCTTGGCTGAGGCCACCCTCACCTGGCTTCCATATCTACCACGTGTAGCGTGTCCTCCACCAGGCAGGTCTTGAGCTCGTAGTCTTCCTGGCTGCTGGCTGTCAGTGAGGGGGAAGCATTGACCTCCAGGAGCCACCTGGGACCAAGGGAGGGGCAGCCTGAGCACTGATCGGTCCCTGGAGCCACTGGGATGTCACTGAGGCTAAGAGGTGCACAGCCCCACTGCCAGGCCAAGCAGGGCCACTCCCTCCATCTGTCCACCCTGAAGAAAGGCAGCTAGAGGGGCAGCTGGCTGGGGCAGGAGTGACCATCCTGTCGGGATGTTTTCCTTCAATAAACGAGAGCTCAAGTGAATCCTGCCCTTCCTAGCTTGTGTCTACAGCTGGGCACTTGCCTGCACTTTCCGGGTTGGGCGATGGCAGAAGGGCTGGGGCCTGTGCCAAGCTGGGAAGACATTTGAGTCAACAAGGGCATTTGTGGGACAGTGTCACCCTGTAGAGTGCAAACCCAGAATGGCAGGATTCTCTGAGTTTTTCAGAGAAATCAAAAATCCTAAGTTTTATGTAAAAAAATCTACCAAATTTTAGATCTTATCCATAAATTTAAACAGAAAAACATTCCAAAGGCTACAGTCAGCTGCATCTGTAGGCCAATGTCAGCTCAAGGGCCCCCATCCAACACACGACTTCTTATTTTGCACAAACTGTCGTTTTGGACAGGAAGCTGGGTACAGAGATGGAAAGGCTCCCCAGCAGCCTGGGGGAACTGGGACCCCCTTTGCATTCTCTGCTGCCTGCGTCCAGCATATTCCTCCTCAGGGCCTACCCTAGCGCCACTGCCACATCTTGCAGCAAAGAGAAGGTGGCTCATCGGTGCTGAGGCTGTTTCCCTTAAGCCAGGGGCTCACTTAGGTCTTGCTCTTGGCCTCCTGTGCCTGGCTTCAAAAGCTCTTGAGCACTAACAAGGTGACCTTGGCAGGGGAGTCATCGTCACATCCAGCAGTGCTGCTGGGGAGCAGCTGAGCCCATGTCCTTCCAGCCTGGGCCTGCCCTGGCCTGCCCTTGATCTGACCCTGACCTTAGGCTCCTTAGAACCCATGGGCTCCTCTGTCCGGTCATGTCACGTGGGCCATTGCTGCAGTCCCTGCCAGCTCCTCCCCCTCTACAGGTACTGCAGCCTCACGCCGCATTCCTGGCAGGAACTGACACTGGGACCATATTCCCTTACACAGCACTTCCATCCTCTGCACCCAGGTCTCACAGAGGGAAGCAGCTTGCCTGTTACCAGGGGAGCATTCCTGAGCCAGCCAATGATCAGGAGAGACCTAGGGCCAGGCTTGGCGGCCACGGCTTCACAGATGATTGCCCTTTTCCTCCTCCTCACTGTAAGGCACAAGCACTGCTATGGCTTTTGTCGGGATGTCCCACAAAGCCTCACGCAGGTGGGGCTTTTGCACAGAATATGTGATGCTAGGATTTGTTCATGGTGCACTGTTGGACTCAAGGACGCTAGGATTAAGTAGTTTTAAGTAGTCTGGATAAGATAGAAGGGGCAGAAAGATGCTGTTAAGGCTCCTTGTTGCTTTTGTCACCTTCCACCTGCCATGAACTGTTGCCCCTCTGCCATGTGCCACCCTGCCTTGGAGCCAGCCCATTATGGACTGAAACTTCTATGAACTGTAAGCCAAATAAATCTTTCATCCTCTAAATCTGGGTCTTCAGTATTTTGTCTCAGCAATGAGAAAAGTAACTAAGATAAACAGTGTCCAACCCTATTCTACAGACTGGCAAACTGAGGTACAGAAAAACAAGTGTGTCCAAGTACCCACAACTAGGAAATGGCGGAGCTGCGATTCAGATCTGGGTGATCTAGAAGCATAGTGCGTAGACCCTTATGTGCACCCCCTCCTTCTGGGCTGCTCTCCCACTCACGGTTTGAGATCCTGGTCGATGAGTATGTCATAACCATACAGCTCGAAGCAGTGCTTGTCACTAATGATCACCTTCTGCACACTCTGCAGGCTCTTGATGAAGATGTTGTCCATGTCGCTGAACAGGGCTTCCACCGCCTGGGGGCCGTGCTTGGATGCTAGGTACTGCCGGAAGCGCTGGAGCATCCACTTGCAGCCCTGGGCCAGCAGTCAGGTGGTGAGGGACCTCAGGTAACAGAACCCCATCTGCCAGTTCCCCCGAGGCAACTCACTAGCTCAGCCTTCAGGCCTGAGTCTGAGGATCAGGGCAATTGGGTGTAGCCACCTCCTGAAGCAGATCGTCTGTAGCTAACAGGACTGGTTCCCTAGGACCCCGGAAGTCCCTGCCTATGGTGCTCATGCAAGGCCCTTCCCTAGGCCTCCCTCCCTGAGGAAAAGCTACAGGGACCATGTGTCGCCCAAGGCCAAGAGTGGGCAACAGGCTGCCGGCAGCAAGGCAGCAGGTGTGAGTGAGGTGGCTGTGCTGTGCTCTGGGCCTCGCCTCCGAAAGGTCTGAGAATTGTTTATTTGAATTTGGCCTTGAAGGTTTTTTATGCAGAGCAGATAACTCACAGATAACATAGTGATAGATGATAGATTAGATAGATAGATAGATAGATAGATAGATAGATAGATAGATAGATCAATAGATAGAAAAACAGATAGGAAAAATGAACAGGTAAAACAGATGGCAGATCTGTGTGATACACCAGTTGACAGACTGAGCAATAGGCGATATCGTCCAGGTAGAAGGATAGAACACTTCTTGTTTAGGGTACATCAGTTTGACCTGTAACTTTCAAATATTTAGACACAAGATCTGTAGGCCATCTTACACCCTTGGCTTGGGTCACACCAGTAGGAAGGGTTGCCCTGCCCTCACCACAAAGCTATTCTTGTGGAGGGTAGAAGCCCAGCCCCCTCACCTTCTTTGGGTGATAGTCAGGAGATGTCTTCTGCACGGCGACATTGGTAAGGTGGACATCTGACAGAGGTTGGTGGTCAAGGCCAGTGTAGACAAGAAGAGGGAGCCCTGCTCCACCGTGGCCCCCAGGGATGGCACAACCCTTGCCTGGGATTGATAGCTCAACATTCCCACTTGTGCACCGTGGAGTTGGTCAGATCTGGGCTCATATCTGCCTGTATCTTAGTGACTGGAGGCGCCTGAACAAGCTACTTAACCTCTCTGAACCTGTTCCTCTACCTTGGAAATGGGGGAATGCAACAGGGCACTGGCTTCACAGAATTGTTTGAAGAATCAGATAAATACCATATGAAAGTGATACAGTGCCTGGCATAGCTGATGCTATATCATGGTATTTCAGCTCAAGCTCTGACCAAATATGAAACAGTGACCCCAGTACACACTGCGCGTCCCCTCGCCACAGGGGTTCCGACTGAGTAGCCACCATGCAGGAACCCTCGAGAAGGGGGTCCAGCATGGGTGGAGGGCTGGGGGGGGACCTCAGAAGACCCAAGATAGTCTGCTTTTTGGTATTGTCACTTAGCCACCCTCCAGTGACACCAGCAGCCCTCTGCAGGTCCCAGAGCACATTCGCACACCATTGCATGTGCTGCCCATAACTCCTGTCTCACAGCTGAGAAGCTGAAGGCCAGGAGAAGGCAGTGGCGGCCGCCAGACCCTGCAGGACTGGGCAGGATGGATCCCAGACCTGAAATGGCCATAAGACCTTGCTTTCTCTGGGACTTTTCATTCTCAGCTGAAGAGGTGGAGGCCTACATCACTGGCTCCAGGCCAACTTCTCCTCGTTTGTGGCATGTGGGACACAGAGGCTGGCATGTCAGCCTCTCAGAGAAGGCTGGTGTCCTCTTTAGCTTCTTTCTCCTAGAAGGTCATCTTTAGATGTATTTAAAGTCTCTTCTTTCATATTTGTCTGAGGGTTTGTCTACCCCAATTACAAAAGAATAAGCACACAACCAATTACTAAATAGGAAGGGAGCCCTTACATTATGATCAATTGATTTTCTAAAAAGCAACTCAAGCCAGGCACTCAGCGGGCTGAGACAGGAGGATCACCTTGAGTTGAAGGCCAACTTGGGCTACAGAGTGAGTTCAAGATCAGCCTGAACTGCATAGCAAGACCCTCTCTCAAAAAAAAAAAACAAAAAAAAAATTGAAACATACTATTATTAAAAAGCAATTCATGGGCTGGTGAGATGGCTCAGTGGTCTAAAGCACCTTCTTAGAACAAGCTTAGCAAAGCACAGGGACCGCGGTTCAATCCCCCAGCACCACATGCCAGCCAGCCCGGCCCCCCTGGTGGGCTGAGCTGGCCACACACACACACACACACACACAAATAAATAAATAAAATTTTTTTAAAAAGCAATTCAATTCAGGGGCAGGAGAAGGAGTCTTCCACAAATGGAGTAGGGATGCCTGGGCATCCAAGTGCAGAAGAATAAAATGGGAGCCCTGTCTCACAACCATAGACAATGCTCTCCTACAAGTGAACCAAAGACCTACACAAAGAGGAAAACCTAAAAATTCATAGAAGAATATATAGGAACAAGTCCTTGCGACCATGGACTAGGCAGAGTCTCTTTCTTTCACCAAAAGCACAATGGTTGATAAAAGAAAAAAAATTGGACTTCACCAAAATTTAAAAACTTTGTGTTTTGAAAGACATTATCAAGAAACTGAAAAGATAACTCAAGAGAACGGGAGAAAATATCTACAAATCATTGATCTGAAACAGAACTGTATTTAGACTATATGAATTAAATTCTTATAATTCAATAATTTAAAAAACAATTTTATTAAAAATGGGCAGAGAATTTGAATAAGCCAACAGGCACACAAAAGGGGCTTGGCACTGAGTAATGAGGGATGTGCAAAACCAAGCTGCCTCAGACCCTCTAGAGCTGTGAGAATAAAACAGCACAGCAGGTGTTGGGGAGGATATAGAGCAATTAGAGTCCTCACAAAATGCTAGTGGACACATAGACTTTGTAGCACTTTGGAAAACAGTTTAGCACATCCCCAAGGGTAGCGGTAGCATTACCTGGGACCTGCAATTCCAATCCTACGTGTGTGCCTGAGATAAAAGCTATGTCCACACAAAAATGTGAGCACACAATTTTTAAAGCTGCATTTCATGACAGAAAAAAGGTAGAGATGTCTCCAGGGCCCATCAGGAGACAGGTCGACCACATACCCCTTCATTGGATGGAACACTTTCACACAACGGAACACTAGTTAGCGATTACAATTACTGGTCAGCACACTACAGTCCGGAGCAAGCTTACAGCCTAAGTGAAAGAAGCCGGCCACAAAAGACCACGTGCTGCGGGGGTCCATTTCCAGGAATGTCCAACCCAAGCAAATAGGCAGACAGTGGTCGCTAAGGCTGGGAGGGGAGCAGGGGCTCTGGCCAGTGTGGGATTTTTTGGGGAGCAAGGAAAAGCTCTAAAACTCCCGGGAGCCGTGTGATGTGGCGATACACGCTGTTTCATCGCGTACTTCAACGGGGTGCATTTCTGGTATGTGACCCGCATCTCAGAGCTCAACCCCAGTGTGGAGCATGAGGGAGGCTTCTTCTCTTTTCTGTACTTGATTGTAGAGTTTCCTGACTTGTATTTAATGTCCTGTACCGCCTTTTTTATCTCAAATTGGAAAGACACAAAGTCTAAGGTAAAAACCCTGCTTCCTCATCATGTGAGTTGCATCTTTTTCATTTTGAAAAACTCAGAACTCAGAATAATTGCAAGATTATGCTTCACCAGCAAGGCCAGCATAAGAGGGACTGCCTTAAGAGGCCCACAAGCCATGCCCTGACTGCCGAGGCAGCCACAAGAAGTGAGACTGCACTCTGAGACGGAGGCCCGAGCTCAGACTCGGCTTCCCAGGTGCTCCAGCAGGACCAAAGGCCCTGGGCCTGCCTCCTCCCTCTGGCCAGACTGTTACCTCTACCTGCTGTCTCCACGGAGGAGCCCTGAGTAATCATGACTAGAGGAAACCCAGCCTATTGCTGGACATTGGCACAGGTCTCTTTGTCCTTCTCCAACCCTGACTTTCCTTCCAGTCATTGTACCTCAATAGAAACAGACTTTAGAAGATATACTGCTTTAGCTGTAACTGAGGTAATGCAATATATTCAGATTGTTTACTAAACGATGGTGCTGAGACTGATATTTTACAAATGTAATATATTGTTATTCATGTGTAAGACTTAAAATATTTCACTAGTTAAAACAGGTTCCCAAGGACAGATAACAACCTGTCAGTGTAAAAATGTTCTAAAGAAACTGGCTTAGGCAGTGTCCAATAGCTTTGGGCCTATAGATAGAGCCAGACATTGTATTTGTGATGTAAAACTCAGAGCCACAGCATTGAAAGGAAAAATCCCTTGGCAGTGCCCCTTGCTTACCATGGGGGCCATATCCAAAACACTGAATGGGACATCAGTTTAATATGACTAAATGCTTTGCATTTCATGATAAGTATGTAAGCCTGGTTGATTTTTAATATAACTCTGGTATTTTGTGCTGATAGTTAATACATGTGTGACCTCTCTTAACTAAAGCTAGAGGGACTTACAGCAAACTGTCAGACTCCATGAATAAAGGGGTCTAAGAGCTAGTGAGTTTCAACTGCTAGGTCTCAAAAAGGTTTATAAATGTACCTGTTAGCTCAAATGTTCATGCTTTGATTATATATGTTCTAATCTCTCAGATAATTTATTTCTAGAAGATAACAAAACCCAGGTAATCATGCAGGTAAAATCTAAAACCAAAAGGTTATATGTTGTTCAGTGGGCCCCAGAGATCTGACACAAGCTGTAGAAGTAAAGAGTGTTTACAGGAATGAACTGGTTTCAGTTGAGGTGTTTCTAGAAAGGATACAAAATAAAACTATAGATGAAAAATGAAATAGTAATACTAACATCCTATGGGAAAGAAGGCCAGTAGAAAAACAGGAAAAGTTATGCTTTCCTGGATATAGACAGAGAAGAGACAATTCAAGCAGAAATGTACAAAGCTGCTAGAGAAAAAAAGTGTTCATGATAAAGTCAAAGTTTCAGATTGACAAGATCATGAGTCTTTACCTCTCAGCCTAAAGGAACCTGTGTTAACTGCCAATATAAGGAAAAGCCTGCTAGACGTTCGATAGAAGCTCATACAGATTTATCAGTAGTTATAGGAGACACTTCCAGATCTTTACCTCCATCCAAGAAGCTAATATTTGTAATCCCAAAGTTACATTATTGGAATCCCATCAAGTTGATTCCAATCTACCACTTTCAATGCAACGCACAGCGAAAATAAAGACACTAAATTATATTTTCAATCATCAGAGAGTCAAGGGACTCTTAAGTCCAGCCACGAAGATGACTTTCCGGAACCAAGAGAGTGACCCAGGGTCTCACCCAGTTTTTATTCAGTAGGAGAGTGACTTGAGGAGGATTGACTAAAAATTGTGGGAAGTAGGTAATCATTGTGAGCTGAGCTAGGTAGGTGGCCTACATTTACCCAAGGCCAATTGACTACAGTAGCCAGCTCTGTACATAGGAAATAGGGTCATGCTCAGTCCAGATGGAGACAGTCGCTCTTCTTTCAAGGAGAGCTGCTCTGGTGGTCCTCCACAGGTAGTTACCCAGCCAGTGACCCCACATACAAACTAGAGTACTCAGTGTTTTCCCTATTTCTGGCAATCCATGTGCCCCAAGTAATAATAGAGTTGGTAAAATATAAAAGGCCAGTTTGTTTGAGACAATATACAATGGCCATAAAAGATAAAAGGGATTAAACTTCACATTAAAGAGATATTTGCTAATAGACCTACAAAAAGTTCTAACTCATCTTTTTCATAATTATCCTGTTGTGATTATTTGACTTGTTTCTTTGGCTTTGTCTCCTCCAGACTCAAAGCTATATGTCTACTCAAGAGAAAAATGCCTGTCATCTATCAAAGGCCTTTAGCTAAAACCTCTGAAGTACATATCTGACTGCTGGTCAACAACT